AAACATGTTTATTAAGAAGTTACAAACTATGACCTATCTTTGTCCTCTCATGGTCTAAGAAGACAAAAGACAAGAATAAAGTAACAAGGAATGTCTTCTAACCCAGGCAGCTTAATTTTTAGATATCTAATGTGGAACATACCACTTTGATTCTCAGTGATAATTCCTAAGATCATGTACTAAAGGAGCAGAGGACATCTGCTTTTTCCAATGATGAGGTCAAAGTACATAAATTAGAACACATTCTGTCACAGAAAAATAAAATCTTGCTGGATAGAGAGAAATAACAAATAACATGAGTGATAGAGTCACATACCTGGCTTGTGTTTTAAGCTATTATTATGAAAAAAATGCATCCATTGCCTTTTATTATCAAGTATAACCTGAAATGCTGACAATGAATTTCAATAACAAAAAAACCTGCAGGAGTGTGAGCACAAAGATCAACAGAAAGGAAAACACCATAATGCCGCCATACTGCATATGTACATAACAATGTTGAAGCCTTAGTATGTATTGTGATGTATTATCAACTCTTTCTGTAGTGTTGATCACCAGCTGGTCAAGAAGAAAGCCTTAAGACCAAATGGGCTGATTGTGTCACTTGGTATAGGTAACCCAAAAATCTATATTCCAAAATATACAAACTACATCATACAGGAGGTTAGCACTCCCCATACATAGTAAATGTTATATTAAAATTTCAGTAATTCTATACGGTTGTTGTCTCAGGAGAACATAGCCTTACGCTACTATGGATTGGCATTCATCCCCGCAACTATTTTTAACATTCAACAAAATGCACACAATCACACGTTTAGGGTGGAAGGGTAGGACTGCAGCTGCAATTGATGTGGAAGTCTTGCTATGGTACACTCTTTTATCTCTTAGGATTTTTTCCCCTTAAGTGCAGTGAAAAAATACACAAATCTTCAGTTAACTTAGAAGCCATCTATACTGGAGTTGTACCAATGCACCATTTAAGTTATTAACAATGTGAGAACAGCTATTCTCACTTTGATGAGTTTGATCACAATAAGTTCAATGTTCCACTAGGATAACATAAGTTTTGCTATTAAACAATTTTTGAAATGGTCAGACTTCAGCCTGAAGATAAATCACACAGACCTTCGTTTTAAAAATATATATATTCATTCATAAAGTAGAACAAGAGTACTCCACTACGTAAAATATGACTTCTAGATAAGGGTCCACAAGTCTTCAACTAGATTACTGATTATTTTTTTGCAATATTTCAGTGAAATGAATACAAAACATGTTCATTTAACAAAAATGTAATCATCTCTAATAAATATTTAAATAAAGAAAACAAATCTCCATTAAAAAAACAAAACATAAATCTCTCCAAAAAAAAAAAAAGAAACTGAAAATTTAGTAATAGACCTTATACATGAGATTTTGCAATATGCAGCTAGCTGTAATATAAAAAGATCAAATAAAATATACAGACATACATCGATACACATTACTTCTTGGACAATTCATTGGATAGCCAGTCCAGACCTTCATACAAACCCTGTCCTTGAACTGCACAAGTTGCTTGGATATACCACTGGAAGGAGAGAGAGAGAAAAAAAAGGTTTTATTTCCGTGAAAATTTTATCTTATTTCAATTAATACAGCTTCACTGTCATTGATATTTAGGCAAGGGATTTTTTGAATTAGAAAACTTTTAGCAATGACCCATCCAAATGTGTGATAGTAATCCCCTAAATAGGTAAACGGAGAAAAAATATATGATAGGAATCAAGTCTTTTGCTAAAAATATAGAGCTTTATTCAAACCATCAATTTAAATGCTCTGAATAACATGGACGCCAAAAAACTTTAACCCGAACAAAAATGGAACTAAAAGTTTGGTATTCCATGCTTACCCTCCTGTTGCGCAACTGGTTAAGACCTAGGCGATCGGTGAGCTCTGCAGCAGTCATGGCATTAGGCAAATCTTGTTTGTTGGCAAACACTAGTAAAACTGCATCTCGCAGTTCATCTTCACGCAACTGTAAAAATAAAATTGAAATATCATATGAGGTATGCAGTAGGCATATATGCTTAATTAACCAATATCTTCCAGGCCATGCCAATAGTCATTATAATAAACCAATTCATCATGCCAGGTATGGCTATAGGCGTCATGACATGCTAGAGTGCGTCAAGCAGAAAGTTCTACTACATGTAGCAGACTACCTGGCCAAACGGCAGGTTGCCAGAAATCACCAGAGTAAGTGATGCTAAGAGATTTCTGATACTGTTATTGAGGGGTTAAACAATGAGGATTTTGCATTAACATTCCGGCTAGATTTTCAATACACAAACCTCTCTATGTCTATATTTTTTTTTTGTCAAGTAAAAATATGTTGAGGTTGATGTAACTTGACCTTCTGAAATTACTTGGAGTTTTAAGTGTTGCTTTTGTACATACAGACATCTGTATAAATTATATATGGTACTTTCTTTAGTCTATAAATGTAGTTTTGAAAAAAAAAAAAAAAGAAACTGAAAATTTAGTAATAGACCTTATACATGAGATTTTGCAATATGCAGCTAGCTGTAATATAAAAAGATCAAATAAAATATACAGACATACATCGATACACATTACTTCTTGGACAATTCATTGGATAGCCAGTCCAGACCTTCATACAAACCCTGTCCTTGAACTGCACAAGTTGCTTGGATATACCACTGGAAGGAGAGAGAGAGAAAAAAAAGGTTTTATTTCCGTGAAAATTTTATCTTATTTCAATTAATACAGCTTCACTGTCATTGATATTTAGGCAAGGGATTTTTTGAATTAGAAAACTTTTAGCAATGACCCATCCAAATGTGTGATAGTAATCCCCTAAATAGGTAAACGGAGAAAAAATATATGATAGGAATCAAGTCTTTTGCTAAAAATATAGAGCTTTATTCAAACCATCAATTTAAATGCTCTGAATAACATGGACGCCAAAAAACTTGAACCCGAACAAAAATGGAACTAAAAGTTTGGTATTCCATGCTTACCCTCCTGTTGCGCAACTGGTTAAGACCTAGGCGATCGGTGAGCTCTGCAGCAGTCATGGCATTAGGCAAATCTTGTTTGTTGGCAAACACTAGTAAAACTGCATCTCGCAGTTCATCTTCACGCAACTGTAAAAATAAAATTGAAATATCATATGAGGTATGCAGTAGGCATATATGCTTAATTAACCAATATCTTCCAGGCCATGCCAATAGTCATTATAATAAACCAATTCATCATGCCAGGTATGGCTATAGGCGTCATGACATGCTAGAGTGCGTCAAGCAGAAAGTTCTACTACATGTAGCAGACTACCTGGCCAAACGGCAGGTTGCCAGAAATCACCAGAGTAAGTGATGCTAAGAGATTTCTGATACTGTTATTGAGGGGTTAAACAATGAGGATTTTGCATTAACATTCCGGCTAGATTTTCAATACACAAACCTCTCTATGTCTATATTTTTTTTTTGTCAAGTAAAAATATGTTGAGGTTGATGTAACTTGACCTTCTGAAATTACTTGGAGTTTTAAGTGTTGCTTTTGTACATACAGACATCTGTATAAATTATATATGGTACTTTCTTTAGTCTATAAATGTAGTTTTGAAAAAAAATAATAATAAGTTTGGTTTCCATCAAGAATAATTCCAACTTCACAATAAAAGAACAAAAAAAATGTACTTTTAAATTTACTGAATACTTTTCAAATTAGTATTATCCAACAATAATAATAGCAGTAATATTAATACTAATAATAAATAACAACAACAATAACAACACCAACAACAATAATAATAATAATAATAATAATAATAATAAAAATAACTATAATAATAACAACAGTAATAATAACAATAACAATAGCAATAATAATAAAAATGATAATAATAATAATAATAATAATAAATGATAATAATAATAATAATAATAATAAATGATAATAATAATAATAAAAAAAACAATAAAAAAAAAATCCACACGAACACACACACACACCCCCATTCCCCCTTCCCCCACCACCCACACCCGCAGACACCCTTCACCACGACCCGCTACCCATCCTCCTAAAACTGCGGACGAATGCTATACCATTTTTGCCAGCTCGTCCGAAGCCTCTGTGATTCTCTCCTTGTCGTTGCTGTCCACCACGAAGATGAGGCCCTGAGTATTCTGGAAATAATGTCTCCACAAGGGTCGGATCTTGTCCTGACCGCCGACGTCCCACACTGTGAAACTGATGTTCTTGTACTCGACCGTTTCGACGTTGAAACCTGAAAGAAAAAATTGTATGTTAGCTCTTTGTCATAGCTTCCATCTTTCATCAAATTTGTCACATCAATAGTAAAAATTCTTCAATAATAGGGAAAAACTTCAAAACTATTACACCAACAAATGTGTAATAGTACACTAAAAAATTGTATTAGCTGATTTAGGTTCAGTATGTGTACACCTAAAACTGAGAAGTTGAGGAGGAGGAGGAGGAGGAGGAGGAGGAGGAGGAGGAGGAAGAGGAGGAAGAGGAGGAAGAGGAGGAAGAGGAGGAAGAGGAGGAAGAGGAGGAAGAGAAGGAAGAGAAGGAGGAGGAGGAATAAAAGATGAAAAAGAAGAAAAAGAAGAAAAAGAAAAAAGGAAAAAGGAAAGAGAAAAAAAAGAAGGAAAAAGAAAAAGGGCCCTTTTTCTTACATTCCTAATATTCATCACACTATGTTCATAAGATCATTAGTTTTGAAGAGCTGTATACGGCCAGAAAATATCCTAATCTGGATTTTTTTAAGCCTTGTCAAGAAAATAATTGCAAGGTGTTTACAAGCAATCATTTACTTTATTTCCTATACAAAGACTTATCATTCATTATCCACATCCACTGTTCACAATAACTTTCTTTCATCACCATATTTACCAAATTCTTAAGTACAAAACAACAGGGAGGGAAAAAAAATTCCCCTCATGTTAGCCTCCCATAATTCCATTGTCTGTACTGTCAAAATCTCTCACATTTTTCCCCTTCTCCAGTACCCTTCCTTTCTCCAATTACTTATCAATTCATCTGGATATCTTAATCTCTTCCTCTGTATCTAAGAAGTTGATAAACCCAAAGTTCCAGGAAATGGGTAGAGGGTAAAGGCAAGATCCCAAAGACTTGTATCAAATATTTGATATACTTTTAAGGGGAGGCCAACTGATTTAAAAGAAATTATTATTGTTGCCTCTTGTGTCCCAATGACAATAGCTGTATATGGGTATTCAAGAATTTGCATACACTGCATTCTGTGGTCCATTGTGGTTAACATCTTATAGCTGGGCATGCCTACAGCTAATCATGAAAAAACAATGCATCCTGATGGGTACAGCTATAGGCATCAGAATTCGCGGGAAGTTCCACTATAAGCAGTGGACTCCTCAGCCAAAAGTCTTGACTGTTGCCAGGAGTCACCAGAATGAGTGACACCTAAAATTTTCTATTACTGACATTGTAGAGTTAACATTAATTTTTTTTCTCAAAACTAAAGATCCCTCAATATCCTATTAACCAAACTTGTACCCAAATCCACTGTGTGCTTGACAATTTTAAATAAAGTATGGCCTGTCAAAAACTAGTAGGCTTTTTTTTACTAGAGAATTTCCTACCTATGTAGTGAAAAAAGAAAAAGAGACAAATAAACAGGTAAAACAATCCCCTTGCACAAATTGAAAGAAAATATTGAACACACTATCACTAGTCTATAGGACTTAATATATTTTTTGGAAGAGATCAAGCTATACAAATGAGAAATTTTTACCATTTCTAATCATCATATTCATGAATTTTCTGTATGAGAAGAAAATATCCAGTAGTAACAACAATGTCATTATTCTTACTAACTACTCCTGGTATCACCAATAACTTTAAAGCCATTTCCCTTGCAAGCGCTGTAATCAGTACATTTCAGGAATCTACTGAAATGCATTCCTAGAGAAATCTAAAACTACTGGCAAGCAGCACTTCAACTTTTCAGAATTACTATTTTACATACTTCCACTTTATAATTTAACTGATGTCATTATATTTTGAGTGCCCGTGCAAAACTCAGAAATCATTTAATGCATGAAAATAACATTATTCTACTATATTACAAATAATTTATGCCAAAAGTAATAATTTATGCCAAAACAGTCGACACAAACCATTTTTGTACTTAAAATAGGGCATAGTACAAAAACAAAGACCATTCTTTACCATATGAACAAAAATTATTAAGAACTTACCGATTGTGGGGATGGTGGTGACAATCTCTCCTAATTTAAGCTTGTACAAGATGGTGGTTTTACCAGCAGCATCAAGACCAACTGCAATAGATACAAGAGAATTAACATCCTGCACTAAAAATAGAAGTGCCATCAACAACAAATGCACATATTAAACATCAAACATAATATATCAGAGAATGTTCTCTTTGGTATGAAATTTTCTGACCTCTCATAAAAATCACAAATTATACACCATTACAATGCTGCCTAAATTATCAAAACTGTTTTCAAATCAGGTATATAATAAGCTCTCTATTTGCCATAATCATGGAAGGCTGGTCAAAAACTGGCAGGATTTTGTCCCACACCCTATTCACTATATAAGAGATGGATGTGGTCTCCCCTAAAACATATGGTACTGTTAACAATGTTTCCTTCAGCCGCACCCACAATATCAACCAGATACCTTCACTTCCCTTGTATTATTACTATCACAGAGCTCCCACCTGGTATACCATGTCTTTTAACTACTTATACATTGAGATAGTTAGAAAAACACCTGGAAACACATTATATTGTTTATATGATAAAAAAGCATGTGCATTTTATTTACTTATTCATGGTAATCTATTCCCATTTTCATTCATACATGGGGTGACTGTGATAACTTTCTCTACTGACATTCTGTGCATTGGATATGACAATGAAATACACATTTTCTAATGTTTAAAACTGAGCTCTTCAAATGCCTATAACCAAAATTTACCTTGAATTGAAGAAATACACATGCTGGAAGATTTCATAAATCAAATACATTGATAGACATATGCAACTTTTTTCATGCTCGTTTGGAAATACTAATAATGGTAATAATTTGTAGTATACTGATGATGCATCCTTAAGATTAACAGACCATTAAGAAACCACTCCAAGCTCTACCTTCCCATAATATAAATGGAAAATACTTGTTGGTCTCTTTATCATAGGCTTGGAGGTAACAATGACTGCTGTAGACATGATATGCCATCTGGTGAGTAAACTAACAATATCACATACTTTCAACATTTACATTGGGCAGAAGTCATGAATTCTTGATTTTTCCCTCAGGTCCCCCTTGCCCATTGGATGGAAGTGGGATCTAACACATAGTTTACAATAAATATGAACATCTGATCCAGTCTAGTCACATCAATAGATTTGTAAATATTAGTCTTGTCTGTGAAACATATGGTTTTCACTAATGAAAAAAGTCAGCTTGGCTTAAAGAGGTTCAAAACAAAGTAAGGTATATTTAATACAGTCAGGTAAAGCAGGGTATATGATATGATTGGAAAAGTCATTACAGTAACTGAAAGTCTATATATTAACCGTTTGTTTATGAATCCATCAGCTGTAACAGGGAGACAGGTGTGGACTAATATATAACTATTTAATTTATGACAATGATAGGTCTGGTGGTAATTATCCTGAATGCATCTACATCAAGTGAGATTTAAGCCTTAAACAAAGGTCACCCAAAATCTACTACATACTTTCTGGCAAAGAAAGGACTTGGACTGGTTCCTCCTTTGCTGATAAGTTGCCAAGGAGGAGTTGCCTCTCTTTTGCCAGAATAAATGTGGCAGAGATCTCTTGACTTATGTTGGGGCACAAAATGCACAGCATCATTTAAGTTTAACCCACTTCTAAAAAATATTTCTGTATATTACAAGGTCAGTTATTAAAGAAAAAAAGTTGAACAAGGTCATGTAAGGTACGGTTACATAAGATATATATATGATATGATATGGTAAGATTAAGAGATAAGAAAAAAAAGTGAATTCTTTTAATGACTCAAATGACTTTCATACACAAAACCTATGGTTCTTAAATCAATTTTGATGTGATTAAAATGAATCCAACATTCACTTTCATTGTACACCTTTAGTTTCCAAGTTAGTTATTCCCTCCCCTTACACCTGGATTGGAGGACCCCAGAAAATTAAGGTTTTGGGGAAGACAAACACTACAAAATGAGGCCAATTTAACATGAAATCATAAAGCATGTGATTCTCATACAAACACAAGGTATATCATGAGCACAGTGACTGTGGCTGCCTCTACACCTAAAAGACCAATAAGGCACTCAAACATCCTCTACATATGTGACAGGGCAGAGCTTGGACTAGTACATCACTATGTATGCTATACTGCTACAATAATTTTTTTACAAAACAGAAGCACTCGCTTTGCCCTCCCCAACACCCCCAGCAAACATTGTCTTCACCTCAGTATGCACAGCAAGTTAAGAGCTGAAGCTTGGGAGCACCAAGTGGATCTAAGCTGTGAGCAATACTTTCTGCTACATTTTTCATTTATTTGTGGAAATGCTGTTTGTATCTGTAGATTATTACTCATACCAACAACTGCAATTTTTCAACCTATACAAGACTATCATCTTCACTTTACCCTAGCTTAGTGTGTTTATAAAAAGTAACCACTCCTACCAATACGGCAAATGCATGTCTTCAATAATTACTACCAACTCATGACAATATGAAACACAGAACTGCTTATTCTTGCTTATGAGTGGCATGATGATTTAAGTATTCTTTTCTGCTTAAGTAAGAATGTATTACTGTGTAGTTTATCAAGTGAGTGGGCACTCCTCCAATCAAAAATTGCAGTACAAACCAAAAGCCTTTCTAACTTAGGCCTTTGCCTCCCCCCCCCCCCCCAACCTCAACCTGATCACCACCCACCTTATTTTTCTATTTCCCAAATATCAAAATGGAGTAATACATTAAAAAGTATAGTGCCTCTTCAAAAGAATGGCAATGACTGATCCTTAATTTAAGTCTGACATGTGCAAAGTCAGGATAATATAAGGCTGGACTAAGTTGTGGGAGGCATGAACAGAATATTATCCGTATTTCTCATATTATTCTTTGCCTGCCAAAAACATTTCATGTATCAGTATGTTTTTTTCTCTCTTTATGATGGTGTCCTTTCATTTTCCCTATCCTGGCCACCATATAAATACCTAACCACATAAAAAGTTTGGTTATCAACTCCCTCAATTATAATAAAGGGAGGGTGGGAGTGAAGGGTGCTGCTTGTTTAACCTCTTCCCGACGGGTGATGCCGATAGGCATGAATACAAACCGCACGAAAGCTGGCGTGCGGCTGGCGTGCGGCTGTACGCTGCAGCGAGCCAGTGATTCGGGCTGATGTACCGAACTCACGCGTTCAAAGTCGGCGCGCCACCATTGTTTGCCAGAGCGTAGAGTTTTGTTTTGTTTTTTTTTGTTTTTTTTTTTTTTTTTTTTTTTTTTTTTAATAAATTGAATAAATTGTGTAATAGGTAAATATCCCAACAGGGGGCTACAAGGGCAGAGCTGCCGATAGGTACATAGCCCAATGAGGTGTGTGTGTGTGTGTGTGTGTGTGTGTGTGTGTGTGTGTGTGTGTGTGTGTGTGTGTGTGTGTGTGTGTGTGTGTGTGTGTGTGTGTGTGTGTGTGTGTGTGTGTGTGTGTGTGTGTGTGTGTGTGTGTGTGTGTGTGTGTGTGTGTGTGTGTGTGTGTGTGTGTGTGTGTGTGTGTGTGTGTGTGTGGGGGGGGGGGTGCAGGAGCAGATAAGTAAATACCCAAATGGGGGGTGGGGGTGGGGTTACTTGGTTAGAATGTTTTGAGTGTGAGTGTGAGTGTGTGTGAGTGTATGTGAGTGTGTGTGAGTGTATGTGAGTGTGTGTGAGTGTGTGTGAGTGTGTGTGAGTGTATGTGAGTGTGTGTGAGTGTATGTGAGTGTGTGTGAGTGTATGTGAGTGTGTGTGAGTGTATGTGAGTGTGTGTGAGTGTATGTGAGTGTGTGTGAGTGTGTGTGAGTGTGTGTGAGTGTATGTGAGTGTGTGTGAGTGTGTGTGAGTGTATGTGAGTGTGTGTGAGTGTATGTGAGTGTGTGTGAGTGTGTGTGAGTGTGTGTGAGTGTATGTGAGTGTGTGTGAGTGTATGTGAGTGTGTGTGAGTGTGTGTGAGTGTATGTGAGTGTGTGTGAGTGTATGTGAGTGTGTGTGAGTGTGTGTGAGTGTGTGTGAGTGTATGTGAGTGTGTGTGAGTGTGTGTGAGTGTATGTGAGTGTGTGTGAGTGTGTGTGAGTGTATGTGAGTGTGTGTGAGTGTATGTGAGTGTGTGTGAGTGTATGTGAGTGTGTGTGAGTGTATGTGAGTGTGTGTGAGTGTATGTGAGTGTGTGTGAGTGTGTGTGAGTGTATGTGAGTGTGTGTGAGTGTATGTGAGTGTGTGTGAGTGTGTGTGAGTGTGTGTGAGTGTATGTGAGTGAGTGTGAGTGTGTGTGAGTGTATGTGAGTGTGTGTGAGTGTATGTGAGTGTGTGTGAGTGTGTGTGAGTGTGTGTGAGTGTATGTGAGTGTATGTGAGTGTATGTGAGTGTGTGTGAGTGTATGTGACTGTGTGCGAGTGTGTGTGAGTGTATGTGAGTGTGTGTGAGTGTATGTGAGTGTGTGTGAGTGTGTGTGAGTGTGTGTGAGTGTGTGTGAGTGTATGTGAGTGTGTGTGAGTGTGTGTGAGTGTATGCCTCAAACCCCCCACCCACCTACAATCTTGGCTCCAATAAGAGGGGAAGGTTTGAATGGTCCAAGGAAACTGAGGGATAAAATATGAATAATATGCAGAGAATTGGTCTATATATACTAAATGACAAGAAAGAACAGCATATGTCCTATAGGTATGGTTAATAGAGGGTTAGAGAAATCCACTGATACCACTATCATCGTGATCTGTCAAGCAATGGTATTCTAAATAATTACTGAGAAAAAATCAGGAACAGAGGAAACACAATTTACTCTAGTCTGTACTCTTGGCTGTGACATAAACAATATCCTAGAGGTTAATGTTACCAAGAACAACATACAAATAGAGGGAAATGGACACCACCATTGGAAAATCTTAATAAATATGTATATCAGAGTAACAAAAAATGGTTAGTAATAGCATGAAGAGCAAAATGATAGTGTATAAATATAAGTAAAATAGAGTGATCACACCTCTGGTAATGGAAATATTGAAACTAGAAAATGTGACCTTATTTTTTTTTACCTAACTCCACACACACATCAACAACACCTGTGTTTACATGTGCATGTGGATACATCAGTATGTAGTCTATATATATATGTACACATCAATGATGCACTTTTAATTTTTTAAACATTTGTATGTTAAAATTCCTTATTATATAGGTTTCATCCATATAATTTAAAGTTTCCTATTGCAGTGTTAAATATTTTATGTATCTCAAAGGAATAATTTTTTTACCCACAGCTTGTTTTTGCCAGGGGGTATGGGTATGCGGCCCAGTTCTTTTTTTTTTTTTTTTTTTTTAATAAATTGAATAAATTGTGTAATAGGTAAATATCCCAACAGGGGGCTACAAGGGCAGAGCTGCCGATAGGTAAATAGCCCAATGAGGTGTGTGTGTGTGTGTGTGTGGGGGGGGGGGTTCAGGAGCAGATAAGTAAATACCCAAATGGGGGGTGGGGGTGGGGTTACTTGGTTAGAATGTTTTGAGTGTGAGTGTGAGTATGTGTGAGTGTGTGTGAGTGTGTGTGAGTGTGTGTGAGTGTGTGTGAGTGTGTGTATGTGAGTGTATGTGAGTGTATGTGAGTGTATGTGAGTGTATGTGAGTGTATGTGTGTGTGTGTGAGTGTATGTGAGTGTATGTGAGTGTATGAGAGTGTATGTGAGTGTATATGAGTGTATGTGAGTGTATGTGAGTGTATGTGAGTGTATGTGAGTGTATGTGAGTGTATGTGAGTGTATGTGAGTGTATGTTGAGTGTATGTGAGTGTGTGTGAGTGTATGTGAGTGTATGTGAGTGTGTGTGAGTGTATGTGAGTGTATGTGAGTGTATGTGAGTGTATGTGAGTGTGTGTGAGTGTATGTGAGTGTATGTGAGTGTATGTGAGTGTATGTGAGTGTGTGTGAGTGTGTGTGAGTGTGTGTGAGTGTATGTGAGTGTGTGTGAGTGTATGTGAGTGTATGTGAGTGTGTGTGAGTGTATGTGAGTGTATGTGAGTGTATGTGAGTGTGTGTGAGTGTGTGTGAGTGTATGTGAGTGTATGTGAGTGTGTGTGAGTGTGTGTGAGTGTGTGTGAGTGTGAGTGCGAGTTCTTGTGTGTGGTTTCACAGCTTGATAATGATGTGCATTTCCATAAATATTAATAAAAATGGTGGGTATTCCCATATACTTTTTTCAAACGTAGAGTTCTGTAAAGCATGGCGTGTCAAGCTGTATATTTTCAATGTTCTCAGGCATTAATGTAGTTTCTCAAGCTGATTTTAACAATTATTTTTTGTTGCTTTCTGTATCATTGCATTATATTTACTATATTTAGGCCTGTTTTGCCCCATAACTTCCCTGATATACTTCATGGCTTCCCATTATAGCAGGTCTATCAAATCAAGATTGTTGGGTGAATATGAAATTTCACCAACCAAAAATGGTATACATCTCTAACTGTCACAGATAATTGTCTAATAAACTCATGAAATACATATTTACATACATTATAAAGCATAGCAAATAGAGTCATAAACAACACAGGTACAGCTGCTGGTGCTGCTTCATATTTACTGCGAAATGACAAAAATATCTGCTGGATTTTCCCCCTTTGGCTAGAGAATAAATTGGATTTTTGGATTCGCATGACATCCTGGTTTTGAGACATCGTCTCTGGAGGGTGCAATGCTCTCGGTGACAAATACCATTTTAGGAATGGAGGATAAAATGAATCGTTAACCTTTCATTGACAATAACAGAAATCTCTCGGTGTCACTGACTCCAAAGGCTATGGGAGTCTGCTACATGTAGCGGAACTTTCCCCTCAGCGCACTCTAGCGCGTCAAGACAGCTATAGCTGTACCTGGCACATAGAGTCATTTTGTTATGCTAACTACAGGCATGGCCTAGTGAAGCCTACTTTGTGGGACTCTCTCTTCTCAATAAATGCAGCTAAGGCTAAACAAGTGCAAATTGTTAGCTTACACAACTTAGCTGGGGCTGTAATGTGAAGATGTCTCCCTGGCAGGAGCAATAATCTGTCACAATATGAAAAGATATCATCCCAGTGTGAGTGGCTTCATGGCAAAGCTCAACAAACCTCCAAGCACACATCTGGGCACAACAGAGCTTCAACTACCTCCCTATTGGACGACTCCTTTGCAGTAGCGCTAATTTGTAATTTTGAAAAGGTCACGATCTATAAATTTACCAGTACTATTAAGAGAGCCACGAGCCTTAACTTTTAAAGGCCCTGTCTACCTGGCAGTTATAACATGACCTCTAGCCTCAGGATATCCAAACACATGTAAATCTAAGAACACGACTTTAACACCAGAGAAATGAACAGCGGGCGAAAAGGGCATGAGCGGCATCGATAAATGTACAAACCCAATGAAACAGACAAGTACTTCAAGTGTTACAAAAAAGAAAACAAAAGAAAACAAAACAGGATGAGTCACAACCCACTAGAAGAAACCCATTCAAAGCTAACTTCTACGGCGAAACACGTTCTCCTTTTTCACCGGGCCTTCGGAATACGCCACCTCACCCCTGAATCCAAAAAAAAGTGTCTCGAAAATCCCGTGAAAAAAATATAAAAAAATCATTAAATCTCAAAAAGACAACAAACCATCGGAATCGAGACGAAATGTCATCACCTTCTTACCCATTACCTGCTCTTTTTAAGGAACTTACCCATCAAAATCCGCATCTGTTTCTTGCCAAAGAGGCGAGAGAACACCGTCGAGAGCGTAAGTCCCATGGTCAGTCAAGAAATAAGTCTTCAATCGGGAAAAAACACCAAAAAATAGGAGATTTCGCGTCAGCCTTTGCCACGTCCCTGAGGCTCGTGACGTCACCGGTGCATCATGGGAGAGGCACGTGTCCGAACTGTCACCTGGAGTCTTCCATTACTCGGTATTTTAATTCTGAAGAGTGTTATGTGCTGGGTATTAATTGGTGTGAATTGTATTGTATTTTAGTAGGTATGAGATGAATAGTAGGTTTTTTGTAGTCTGTGAGGTTATTGGGGAGTATGGGGGAAGCAGGTGTCCGAACTGTCACCCGGGGTCTTCCGTTAGTCGGTATTTTAATTCTGAAGAGTGTTATGTGCTGGGTATTAATTGGTGTGAATTGTAGTGTATTTTAGTAAGTGTGCGATGTATAGTGGGTTTTTTGCAGTCCGTGAGGTTATTGGAGAGTATGGAGAAGCAGGTGTTCGAACTGTCACCCGGCGTCTTCCATTACTCGGTATTTTTCTGATGAAGAGTGTTATGTACTGGGTATTAATTGGTGTGAATTGTATTGTATTTTAGTAAGTATGCGATGTATAGTAGGTTTTTTGCAGTCCGTGAAGTTATTGGTGAGTATGGGGGAAGCAGGTGTTCGAAATGTCCTTCGAAGACTTCCTTTGCTCGTAATCTTGCACCTAAAGATTGATATGATTTACTACTATTACAAGTATATCTAGCTTCTTTTTTTAACCAACATCTGATATATCATATTTTCTATTGTTGTTATTCGTGACGTTACTAGAGAATTAAGAGAAAAGCAGAAGATCCAACTGTCAAAATGTGATTTCCTTTTCTCCCTCTTTTCAATTCGTATATATATATATTTTTTTATCATTTATCTTAATTGACACATTATTATACATCCTATTTTAGCTAATACCTTATGCTTGATGAGACTTC